AATGGGTGAATAAATATATATTAATTCGTTGACCGTTTTTTTGCAATATGATATGCGTGTTTACTTATGTTTAACCATCATTTTATTTGTTTATTATTATTATTATTTCACGAAAAAGCACTTTCACACACACTGAAATTCCATAGCCTGAACTTGGTAGTGAACATCTTTTTAATTTACAAACTTTTCGACTTTAGCACTCAAAAAAAAAAATTAAAGAAAAAAATAATAATTGTTTTATTACGCACAATAAGTAATTACGAAATACACAACTTTGCATATTTTGATAAAAACTCATCTCCATCGATGTATTTAGTAAATATGTTTACGTTGTTAGTAAACTGTTTTTATTTATACAAAATGAACTTTAATTGTTTATAAACAATTTACAACATTTCAAGTTCGCTAGAAAAGTACTTAAAGACACAAAAAAATAAACTCAAATAAATTTTACATATGGAAAATACAGTTAATTTATTGGCGGACATTTAAAATTCTTTTCGTTTGGCTTGTTGTATTTATTAGGAGAGATGCTTTGATTGATGGTGATACATCGGTGAGTTATGTACATACATATGTATGCACATGCCTGACTGAATGTGCGAATTCACTGACATTTTTATGTAAATATTTCACCGTGAAACATTTGTAGTTCAAAAAAAATACTTTTTTTTTTGGAAGCATTTTTCGAATTTCACTCACATATTAAATGTTGTGTACTCATATGGAATATACGTATAAATGTATGTACATTTTTAAATTTCTGCATATTTAGTGTATACAAAAAGAGTATAAAAATGAATTTCTAAATGCAAAAATGTTAATGAAAATGCAGTTGTAAAAGTTGTAAACTGTAAAACATTTTAACAAAATTTTAATTTTTTAGAAAATTATTAAAAATTTTTTTTTTGGTAAATCATTCTTTAAAATGCTCTATCATTGTAAAATTTAATTAAATTAATGATGTGGGTGTTATTTTATTTTATTTTTTATGTTTTATCAGGTCATTGGTTTGTTGATCAAAAATTTTTTTTGAAATAGTTTTTTTTAGTTCCGCTATTTCTATGTTTTAAATTACTTAGTATTTTATATTGTTATTTATTAAGGTTTTACTGCGTTTTATAGTTTGAATTTGTTAATATAATTAATTTATTTTAATCAATTTAGATTAACTTAATTAAATCAATTTAATTTAAATTAATTTTTAATATTATTTTGTTTTCGTTAATTCGAAGTATTTTTATTATTTTCATTATTATATTTTATTTGTTTTAGTTCATATAATTCTTTTACTGTTCATGTACATGAAACGGTAAATTAACTTGGGTCCGAAGTCTGTTGTTACTAGAAGGAGAAGAGACAGACCCATGAACGTTATATATACATACATATATAGCTCTTGTGAACTGATTTTTTCAGACTTCAAAACCTCGTCAAAAAGGTTCTAAAAGTTTGAAATTTTCTATTATAACGGGTGTTCCAAGTAGAGGTACTTTTTTCATTAACTTTTTTTTTTGAAAAATCCCGCGTGAGTCGTCTCAAGCTGTCATGCTATTATGGTTTTGTATTTTCTGGCATTTCATCGCGCAGACCTTTATGCCTGAAAACGTTTAAAAATCGTTCAACTTTATGACGAAAATTATCGTTCTGTAAAGAATGCGCTTTGCTCAGCCTATAAAGCACACTATTCTCAACACCGTTACCCACTTTGAGAAAGAGCATTCATTATTGATAACTTCGATCGAATAGACCACGTCCAGCGCGCAGTGAAGAAAAAAAGGGCCATAGCTGAGAGCGTACACGATGAGCGTGGAGGGTCGATTCGGCGGCGTTCACAGCAACTCGGACTGACGTTTCGAACGATTTGACGCATTTTATGTCAATCTCTCGAATTGAGAGCGTACAAATTACACCTTCTGCAAGCACTAACGCGGCCCAACCTTCCCAAGCGACATCGCTACGCTCTATGGGTTTTTGAAAAGTTCCAAGAAGACTCGACGTTTTCGAGCCAAATTTGGTTCTGGCTAAATGGATATGTAAGCGAGAAACATTGCTGCATTTGGGACGGAGAGCAACCGACAATTTGACGCCTGAAATTGAAGCTGGTTATTTCGGTGACATTTGGTCTCAACAAGACGGCGCCACTTCCCACAAATCGCATCAATCAATGGATTTATTGAGGCAACACTTCGGCGACCAGATAATTGCACGTTTTGGCCCAGTCGTTAGGCCATCATGTTCGTGTGATATTACACCGTTTAACTCTTTCCTATGGGGATATGTAAAGTCTAATGTCTATGCGGAATATCTTGCTTCGATTCGCAAAACATCCTGCGTGTAATTCGCCAGTTACCGATCGAAATGCTCTAACGAGTTATAGAAAATTGAACTCCACAAATGAACCATCTGAGACGTAGTCGCTGCCAACATTCGAAAGAGGCAATCTTCAAAAAGAAAATGCCAAGGATGTTCTTTCGAATAATAATAAACATTCCCCATTAAATTTGATATTATATATTTGATAGTTTTTTTTTTCCTAAATAAAGTTTGGTACCTAGAAATGATTTCCCCTTTATTATTTAAATGGGTTTCATTATGTTTTTTAACATTCGTTTTTATTTAATTGAAATACATTTTTCATTATGTGGTATTAATACCATTTAACTTACTGTTATTGCTTTTATTTTTTATCTTATTTTAATTTATTTTATCCAAGAACAATAACTAGTTTTTTATTTTATTTTAATTTTTTTATATCATTAAAAATAATTTTTTCCATTTTACTACTATTATTAATTTTTTGATATTTTTTAATTTAATTTAATTTCTCTGGGTACAATAAATATTTTTTAATTTAGTTTTATTTTTTAAATAACTTTAATATTATTTAATTTTTTTTTTTCATTTAACTATATATATTTTATTTTTTTTCTTATTTTAATTTATTTTATCTAAGCTCATTAAATGCGTTTTTATTTAATTTTTATTTTTTATATAACTTTTATATTATTTAATCATTTTTTTAATTTACTAATTATTATTAATTTATTTTTTTATCTTTTTTAATTTATTTTATTTAAGTGCAATAAATAATTTAATTTATTTTATCTAAGTTCGTTAAAAATTTTTTATTTTATTTTAAATTTTTTATATAACTTTTATATCATTTAAATAATTTTTTTCGTTTTACTTACTAATTTTATTTTAATTAATTTTATCTAAGTTCAATAAATTTTTTTTATTTTTTTATAACACTTCTTTTTATTTATTATTTTTTAACTTTTATTTTATTTAATATATTTTTTTTAGTTCACTTATTATTATTATTAATTTTTTATCTTTTTAAATTTATTTTATCTAAGTTCATTAAATATTTTTTATTTTATTTTTAATTTTTTTTTATAACTTTTATTTTATTCAAATAATTTTTCTTCATAATTTTACTTAGTAATTTTATTTTGATTTATTTGATATAAGTTCATTAATTTTTTTTATTTTTTTTTTTAATTTTTTTTATATAACTTTTATTTTATTTTATAATTTTTTTTTGGTATAAACAAATTTATTAGTTTTTTTTTTATCTTTTTTAATTTATTTTATCTAAGTGCATTAAATATTTTAATATATTTTATCTAAGTTCATTAAATATTTTTTGTTTTGTTTTTATTTTTTTTTATATAACTTTTATATTTATTATTTAAATTATTATTTTTTGGATTTTTCTACAATAATTATTATTTTTTATTTTTTTTATCTTATTTTAATTTGTTTCATCTAAGTTCCCTAAATTTTTTTTTATTTTACTTTATGTTTTAGATAACTTTTATATTATTTAAGATTTTTTATATTTATTTCACTTATGTTTATATTTTTTTATGCTCTTCATGTATAAATCAAAACGAGATCAAACAAATATATACAAAAATTTATAGAGTGTATCTTTTCACGGGTTATAAATTTTCTTATTTATTTTTTATGGGAAATTTAATATTTTTTTTTCTTATATATCTTAAAATATATATATGTGTGTATATAATTTTTTTACTTTTTTATTTTTATAACGAATACAAGTCAGACATTTGAATGGACGAAACATTAATTCTTTAGCAAAATGCAAACCACCTGTTCCGCAGTAAAATCAAAGCATCTCCTACTTCCAAGAGCACATAATACGCACAAATACATTTATGACAGCAAGTATCTAAAATATACGTTTTTTAAAACCAAAACACAAACTTCAAATTGGAGTAAATAATACAAAAAATTCGTTCGAAAATAGTTTTTCAAACGGAAATACTTTTGTATCGTGAAGATACTTTTTAAATTTCCACACACACATTTTCAACAATTTTACGATTTTAACACCAATTCCTGCGAATTCCTCATGCAAAATTGTCATCGCTTATATAAAGACGAATCTGTTTGTACGTGCGCCAGTAATGAGCAGGCATTTTTCGGTTTAGCTAAATACCAACTTCCTGTCGTCCACAATGCACGTAAGTGTGTACATATGTACATACATATTTAATGCGCAATGGTGTCTCTTTGTTAGGCTTGTTGTTGCTGTTCGATTTGTTTTTTATTTACATACATACATATATAAAAATGTGCACCAATTCGAGTGATGCATACTGAAATGAGGCGCGAATGCACGACATTTTTCGCTTTGTTTTTGATTCACTTTTCACTAAACACGCCACAAATGTATGTATGCATGTACATAGAGGAATTATGTTTGGGGCAGGGGCGACAACTGATTTGTGTATTTTTATTTTGTATGCACGGTTTATAATTAGTGCGTGCACTTCTGTGTTGTTGTAGTCGGTTTTTTTTTTCAAATTTTGCCTAAAAACACTAATGCACATACATATGTACATATGTATTGTACGACAATGAAATTGATGTATTGTCGTTGAAACAGTTCTTCTTCTTCTTCGTTCTGAATTGCACACCGCGGCACGTACGTATATACATACATAACCGTTGGTGTGGATACTCACAAGCGAAGCGACAAATGCCTAGGCCTAACACCGCTGTGAATGTTTGCGACTGAAGCGAACCGAACGCCACTGAACTCAAATGAAAACTGTCTGACTGAATGACTGACTGAGCTGAGGAGCTTCCATGTAAAGTGCTGAAGTGAATTGACCAAGCGGCAGCGAGTTGGCTGTGGCAGCCACACACATGCACGCATACAATAAAATATCACATTGCTGTATACATATGTACTCGTATGTATGTATGTAAATATGCACGTGAGCATTGCTGTTGTGCTCAGTTAAGCATTTTTTGTTGCTACAAAGTTCTCAGACGTGACGTTCGCTAACGCTGCCTCTGCTGGCGCAAGCGTCTGCCTTTTGCCGGTTCTTTCATTCTTCAAAGCTCAGTCTACAACCAACCAACGGCAATATTGACTCCAAACGCTTTCGCTGCACAACGTCGACTGCACAGTCAACGTAAACAGCGACGCGAAATTGATATGTGTGTATGTATTTGTTGCGTTGCGTGTTCGCTTTGTTGATCATACAGACAGTCGTCGACCGCCATTAGCTTCGGCGTCGGCGTTGGCGTCGACGTCATTTAGTCGTTGTATTTGTTTGTCTTTTGGTTTGTTTATGTTTTTTACCCTCACTTGTTTTGGTTTTTTGTTGCCCGTTTTTTATTTGCCTTTATTGACTTTTTCGCCTTGTTTGATTGAATTCTTTCGGCTTTACTCACAACAACACAGCATACTCGTTGGCTTTGTAGCTTGTATGTCAGCATGCAAAATGTACATATGTATGTATGTAAGCATGTATGTATGCATGTATATATGCATGTTTGTTTGTCTGTATGTACGCCAGCTTGTAAGTAGCTTTGTTTGCGCTACCCCTTTTGTTGTTGCCATTGTGAGCGTTATTCTCGAGTCGAGTGGCGTGGAGTGGAGCGGCGAGTCGTGTCACATTTCACTTTACGTACGCCAACCGTTTGAGTGCGCGCGTTGAGTGCTCTTTGTCGTGTGGCGGCGATCAGCGAGCAGCGCTCAACAGAAACCACTCAGCTGACACTCGTCGACTCTTTTTGACTTATGACCTTTTTGGCGTTGCTGCAATGCGCTTCCTTCTAAAGTGAATTTTTTTTTTTTTTTGGTGAATTATTATTTTCATATTGAGTGAGCTTATGCACACGCATGTACATACTTATGTATGTATGTATATTTACATACATGATGTAAACATCTGTTGAGCCCATGCATACATACAATTCATTTTGGCGCCCCAAACAATTTTATCAGGCTTTTCAATTAAACTAAAAATATTTTTATGATCACTGTAAACCATTTTAATTGAAACGCCGCTTGACCTTTCCTCACAGAGATTTACTGTTGCTTTTCTCATTTTTGAAACTCGATTGATGGAATGCGCTCGTCTGTGATGGCTATGCATTCGCAGGAGTTACTTCAGTATCAGTCAGAGAATGAATAAATATTTATTAATCTCAAAACGCAAACATATACTTATGCATATGTATATATGTATGTATGTACGTATGCATATATGACCTCAATTAGTAGTTCATCGATTGATATGGAATTCAATATTTAAATTTCAATAAAAAGGAATATTAAAAGTGTCTTCTTATGACAGCTCTGGATACCCAAGTTGGTCGCACTGCTCGATACTCGCTCGATACTCGCTCGATACTCGCTCGATACTCGCTCGATACTCGCTCGATATTCGCACTGCTCAAATGTTTCAAGGTTTTAGAAAAAACAAGGTTACGACGGGAGCGAAATCGTACGATTAATGACAAATTTGGTTCCACTTTGTGGGTTGCCGAAGATTTTAAAATAAATTTTCATAATTTTGTCTATAAAACAATTTACCATTTTGACTATAAAATTCAAAAGTTTTGGATTAAATTTTTAGAATTAATAATAATCACAATTAAAACGTTTTGATTTCCATAAAATTTAAATTATGAAAATTTATATTATTTTTTAGAAAAAATTTCGTTAGCTAGCAACACTAACTTTTGATGTCATGTAATACAGCCTTGGCCAAAAGTATTCGGCACCCCACTAAAATACAAGTATTCTCAAATATAGCTATTAAATCTTTTTGTAAATGTCTTAGAAGAGTGTTTAACTGTTGATTAAACGAATAAATTGTGTAAAGTCTTCTCTGTATTCTCTGCATTCTCTGTAAGCTAAACCTAAAAATTGTGATTTTTAAGAAATTCATAAAATATTTTCGCATTTAAAATTTGAAAGTGAAAGTATAAATTACATTCAGTAAAAATTTGAGATCTTATAAAAACTGTTCATATTTACCGAAATGCCTAAAAAAAAGTGAAATTAGTAACGAAGATAGAGTTAGAATTTAAGTTCCAAGTGAAAAAGGTAAGTCTCAGTTTGAGATTGCCAATATGGTAGGATGTTCGAGGTGCGCAGTTCAATGTGCTATCAGGCGATTTGTTGAGACGAAATCCCAGAATAATAAATCAAAAAATGGAAGAAAGCGTCTAACCAGTAAACGAGAACCGAATACTTATATGCCAGCCTCTCAAGGATCGCAAAAAATCCTCTTCTACCCTTGCAGCTGCCCTTTCGGATGAATTTAGTAAACCAGTTAGAGCTCGAGTAGCTAGCAGAAGACTTCCGGAAGCAGGTTTAGAAGGATGTAAAGCTCGAAAGAAGCCATGGCTCGAAGAAAAGAATAGGAAAAATCGTTTGGAATTGGCTCGCCGATTCTATAACTAACTTAATTAACGAGTGCGGACGAATGTGCAGTGATGGAACGCAACATGCCTAAGTGATCGAGTATTTGTTGCTCAAATGCTCGAGCTGGTCAAAACTGTTTCAGAAAAATCTTAGACTGGCGGTGTCTTACTAAGACAGTGGTATACATATATGTATATCTTTCCTTCTCACCATGGTAGTTTGCTTTACATATAATGCTGGGTAAGAAGGGTGTATTTCTACTTCAGCCAAAGTCAAAGGACCTTACAGTAGGTATAAGACGCTAGGGTTAGAAGTTCCCCGAGATTAAAACTCAACATGAAGGCCAATAAGACAAAGAATCGTGATATCCGGTCAAACGTTATTGGGCCTCAAGTGGGCTTAGCGAGTTTAATTGCTATATAGCCCGGGGACATACCTCTGCTGCGAAGGCAGCAACTCTGAGGGCTTGTCTCACTAATGCGCAGTCTACGTTGCAACGAAGAGACGTCATGAGGACTCGAAAATCATCCGGAGGATGCCATAAGTGCTGGTTCGGCAGTAAAGACTAGGCTGAAAAGGGTAAAACCCAGTAAGAAAGACTTAAAGCCGCAAGCAACCGGCGATCAAAGCACATGAAAGCGTCCAGCTGTTCGATGGAAGCGGAAGAACGGCCTGCCTGAGTTAGATGAGAAATCGCGGAAAACTAAACTGTTAATGAGATTGCCAAAAGTGCCGTCCGTCTGGCTGCCGAACCGATACATGAAATTTCTATACAATGAAAAATTTCCCGATAGAGCTAACAGACGGATTAGATAAAATGAACGGTAGACAGGAACGCAATGGCAGCACTCAGCATCTCAAAAGGCCTGCAGGACAATTACTGACCTGATGACTGGTCACAACTTACTGTCATCACACGCGAATTAACGCTCACTTATTATTAGTTGCACAAGTAGGTGAGAAGACATGAGTGAGACGCTTGAACACCTACTCAATTTGGACATTCAGTCTTTCAGACCTTTCAGATGAAGTAAAGAGGGACTATAGAAGCTTCCACAGCCTCAGTTCCCTTAAGCCACCGAGAATTTGAAGTATACACCAAAGATGATGAAGCGTTAAAGAGTTCATTACCGCTTATCGGGTTGGCTTGTCAAAATTAACGTTAATCACGGTGCATGGAAAGGTACCAGTTCTTAGCTAGAAGTCTACTAGCATATAATTTTACACTAACTGCAACATTTTCAATACTTTTTGCCAACTGTTAGCAACGGATATCTTAAAAACAGCTGAGATCTGTCAATTGTCCGACTATGCATCAGCTTCACATTAGTTAAATACCAGTCCATTTGAGCATGTTGAATTGAAGTTTGATAGTGATAATCGCTAACTCGACTGTGGTGGCAATGTAACGATTAGCGAGGAGGAGCTTGGCCGAATATCGCTTAAATGAAAGTAATATTCTTATTATGAAAATACCTTTTCAACCAAAGGACAATTTTTGTGAATTAAAATCTAATGACACCCAAAGAATTGCCTACCTTCTAAGCCACTGACAATTGTAATTGAACAGCTAAAAGCGGAAGTCATTTCCTACACTCTGCCTCAGTAATCATAAACCTTTTCCTTAGTATAATTAAACAATTGATACAGAAATGACGAATGCCATTAAGTTTGCTAACAAACTCTTGCAATCACGAAGCAAAACAATTCGCTGCGCAATTTTTATATCGAGATGATGATGACGTCGACACGATGTGAGGTTGATTGAAAAACGAAGCCGTCAATCGTAGTGGGAAAAACTCTCTCTACGAAAGCCATCGCTTGAAGAATATATATAATATTTGGACCTCAGATTTGACGTTTGGTTGGTATGCAGATGAGTGGACCTTCCAGCAGGATTGGAGAATCCACACAGCGTGCACAACGAGGGATTTCTTTATAGTTATTGCTCCCATTGAGTCTGCGCTGCAGAATGTAGGCGATGCCTGAAAACCACCCAATGTACGAGCAGCGGTATTTGTAGACGGTACCAGGGCAAGCAGAGCTTTGTGAAATTAAGTCAAAATTATATTCTGTAGTAGTTGGCAACTAGATCAGAATGGGGTAATAATTGTAAAAGAAGAAATGTAAGAATTTAATGAGGGATTGGTGTATATATTTATATGTATGTATATAGTACAAACAACGAAATACTGGGACATGGAGTTTTGTATCCTACATAGTACTTGTCGTGTGATATCTCGAAGTAAAATAATTTTTGAAATTTTCTTTTTTGATAATTTTATTTCACATTGAAAAATAAATGAGAGGGAAATACCAAAACTGCAACAAAATTTTAATTATTGAGAAAGAAATAAAGATAAATTAAACCTTTATAGTTTGAAATTTTAGTGAATTTGAAATTTAGGCGTATAAAATAACTATTTTTTAAGTACAACCGCGTTGAAAATAATAGCAGTGTTAAGTGCTAAAACTTCAATGTGCAAGTATCTGGAAGAACAATGATTTTTTTTCAAAATGTTGCGAAATACCGTTATCTTAAGAGTGTTTCATTTAACTACCTCTATGTGACTTACGTACTTTTTTAACTAATTTTTACCATAAATTAGCTTTTGAAATGAGCAGTCAAAGTAGTAGCAGTCATTCGTTGATTGTTTTTTTAAGCAGAATAATTTTATAAGAAGATATAGGAAGATATACAAGGGAAAATTAATAGACGATTACTGATTCTCTGTTTTTGGTGAGGCGAGAAAAAGATTGCTCGCAGGGAAAGCATGAGTTAATAAAAGACCTTTTTCGTAGAAAGCAAAACTTTCAAAGAAATTCAAAATATGATAGGTTGTGCAGCTCAAATAATCTCAAAATTTGAGAACGAAAAGGAAAGGCGCCGAAGAAAGTACGATTCGACTTCACGAAGTGCCTC